GGTATAGAAGGGAAATTTCTCAACATAATAAAGGGCATCTATGCAAAACCAATGGCCAACATCATTCTTAATGGAGAGAGGCTGAAAACATTCCCCCTGAGAACAGGAATAAGACAAGGATGCCTGTTATCTCCACTCCTATTTAACATTGTGCTGGAAGTCCTAGCTAGAGCAATAAGGCAAGAAAAAGAAATAAAGGGCATCCAAAATGTAATGAAGAAGTTAAACTGTCCCTGTTTGCGGATGATATGATACTATACATATAAAACCCTAAAGACTCCATGAGAAAACCACTGGAATAGAAAGACTCAGCGGAGTAGCAGGATACAAGATAAACATTCAAAAATCAGTTGGATTCCTATACACCAATAAAGAGAACAATGAAAAGGAAGTCAGGAAAATAATACATCTATAATAGCCCCTAAAAAAATAAAATGCTTAGGAATAAATCTAACCAGTGATGTAAAAGACCTATACAAAGAAAACTACAAAACACTACTGCAAGAAACCCAAAGGGATCTACATAAATGGAGAAACCTACCATGCTCATGGATAGGTAGACTCAACATTGTGAAAATAACAATTCTAGCCAAAGCAATTTACAAATACAATGCAATCCCGATCCAAATAACAACAACAGTCTTTAAAGAGATGGAAAAACTAATCATTAACTTTATATGGAAAGGGAAGAAGCCCCAGATAAAGCTCTACTGAAGAAGAAGAATAAAGTAGGAAGACTCTACCTGGCCTCAGAACCTACTATACAGCTACAGTAGTCAAAACAGGCTGGTACTGGTACAATGACAGACACATTGACCAATGGAACAGAATTAAGAACCCAGATGTAAATCCATCCATCTACAGTCACCTGATCTTCGATAAGGGCCCAAAGTCCATAAAATGGGGAAAAGACAGTCTTTTTAACAAATGGTGCTGGCAAAACTGGTTGTCCATCTGCAAAAAAATGGAACAGGACCCATACCTCACACCATATGCAAAAACTAATTAAAAATGGATCAAAGACCTAAATATAAAGCCAAAAATTATAAAGTTCATAGAAGAAAAAATAGGATCGACGCTAGAGTACCCTAATGCATTAACAGGATACATACCATAACCAACAACATACAAACCCCAGAAGATAAGCTAGACTACTGGGATCTTCTCAAAATTAAACACTTGTGTTCATCAAAAGACTTCACCAAAAGAGTAAAAAGAGAACCTACAGACTGGGAAAAAAATTTTTGGACATTACAAGTCAGACAAAGGTCTAATCTCTAAAATCTACAAGAAAATCCAACACCTCTACAACAAAAAGACAAATAATCCAATTAAAAAATGGGCAAAGGAAATGAACAGACACTTCACCAAAGAAGACATTCAAGCAACCAACAGACACAGGAAATGCTTGAGATCACTAGCCATTAGAGAAATGCAAATTAAAACCACGAGGAGATACCATCTCATACCAGCATTACCGGCAGGAATCAAAAACACTGGAAATAACAAATGTTGGAGGGGCTGCGGGGAAATCGGAACTCTTATGCACTGCTGGTGGGAATGCAAAATGATACAACCTTTTTGGAAAATGATATGGCGTTTCCTCAGAAAGCTAGAAATAGAAATACCAGACGATCCAGCAATCCCACTCCTAGGAATATATCCTAGAGAAATAAGAGCTGTCACACGAATAGACATATGCACACCCATATTCATTGCAGCACTGTTCACAATAGCAAAAAGATGGAAACAACCTAGATGCTAAGCAACAGATGAATGGATAAACAAGCTATGGTACATACACACACTGTAGTATTATACAAAAATAAAGAACAGTGATGAATCTGTGAAGCATCTTATAACATGGATGAAACTGGAGGACATTATGCTGAGCGAAATAAGTCAATCACAAAAGGACAAATATTGTATGAGACCTCTACTGTATAACTTATGTAAAAGTTTACACACAAAAAGAAACAATCTTTGTTGGTTACGAGGGATGGGAGGGGTGAGGGGTGCACTAAACAGATATGTGGTAACTTTGGTGAAGGGTCAGGCAGTACACAATACTGGGGAAGCCAGCACAACTTGTACAAGGAAAGGTCATGGAAGCTCCATAGACACATCCAAACTCTCTAAGGGACCGAATTGCTGGGCAGAGGTCTGTGGGGACCATGGTCGCAGGGAACATCTAGCTCAATTGGCATAATACAGTTTATAAAGACAATGTTCTACATTCTACCTTGGTGAGTAGCGTCTGGGATCTTAAAAGCCTGAGAGCAGCCATCTAAGATACTTCACTGGTCTCATCCCTTCAGGAGCAAGGGAGAATGAAGAGAATAGAATACAAGGACAAGATTAGTCCAAAGGACTAACGGGCCACAGCTACTAGGGCCTCCACCAGACTGAGTCCAGTACAGCTAGATGGTGCCCGGCTACCACCATTGACTGCTCTGACCAGGATCACAACAGAGGGTCCTGGACAGAGCTGGATAAGGATGTAGAACAAAATTCTGACACACACAAAAAAGACCAGATTTACTGGCCTGAAAGAGACTGGAGAAACCCCGAGAGTATGGCCCCCGGACACCCTTTTAGCTCAAAGGTGAAGTCACTCCCGAGGTTCACCGTTCAGCCGGGGTTGGACAGCCCCATAAAACAAAATGGGACTAATGAGGCACAGCAGTCCAGGGTTAAGGAATAGAAGGCAGTTGGGGGACAAGAAAGATGGTGACAGGGAACCCAAGGTTGAGAAAGGACAGTGTTCACATGTCATAGGGTTAACTATTGTCATAAGGTAATATGTGTACTAACTGTTTAATGAGAAACTATTTGTTCTGTAAACCTTGACCTAAGGTACAGAAAAAAAAAAAAAGAATTATCTATGTGAGATCAAATTGACAACAGCAACTCAAAAGGTTTGATGGGAAGCCTAGGGGGCAGTGAGTTGAAGATAATGGTGATGGAATAATTTGGAAAAGGATAGTGAGAATAGCAGCATAGCTGGAAGAATGTAATTGATGTCACTGAATTGTACATGTAGAAAACTTCGAAAAGCTGTAACTTTGGCTATGTAAATTTTCACCAAAAAAAAAAGAAGGTCCTCCAAGGTTGAGAAGGAAGAGTGTGGACATGTTGTGGGGTTGTTAACCAATGTCATAAAACAATATGTGTACTGACTGTTTAATGAGAAACTATCTGTTCTGTAAACCTTCACCTGTAGTACAAAAATAAAAAATAAAAATAAATAAAAAGTTAAAGTCCCTGTTCAGGCCCTAACGCCCAGTCCCACTCCCCTCCTTAGGTATAGTCACTGTCAACAGTTTGCTATGTATCTTTTCAAATCTTCTTCTGTGCATTTTTTTTAAATGCAGATATAATCAGCCTTTCAAATACTTAAATGGTAATATTACCCATTCGAAAAAGAAAATGCCAGTGGCTGCTTATTTCCGTTACTACTAGTTCTTCAGCCTACCTTAAATCAGATTGGTTGGGTAACATGATTACTATCCTTATTTGGTTAGTACACTGTACTAGTATCAGAGGCAACAATTATGCAACAATAAACATTTAGATTGTATTTCTTAAATCCAGTGTAACTTAGAGCTTAATTGCATAATTAGTTGGGAAGTGTTTTTAATGACTCTTTTCCTTAGGGTCCCACTGCTTATGTGTTAACATGGGAGCAAAGTCATTATTTAATATGGAATCCCTGCAGTGGACATTTTTATGGACAATTTGATACATTCTGTCCCTTAAAAAGTGCGGGCTGTTTAATAGGACCTGATAATGTAAGTATTTCAATTTCCTCTTACTTGTGGTTGACTGTTTTCTTTTTTTTTTAATTGACCTACTGATTTAAATAATATCTTTGCTAATGTTTGATTTATATATATAAACCAAAAAAACCCAAACCCATTGCCATCGAGTCAATTCTGACTTATAGCAACCCTATAGGACAGAGTAGAACTGCCCCATAGAATTTCTAAGGAGCGCCTGGTGGATTCGAACTGCTGACCTTTTGGTTAGCAGCCATAGCTCTCAAAGACTATGCCACCAGGGTTTCCATATATATATATGACGACTTTTCCTTGTCAAAGTGTCAAGTATAGCGGCAGAGCTGGCCCTAAATAAAATTTTTGGTTGGATTAGTCACCTGACCTGCAGAGAAGCAGAATGAAGTTAAAGAATATAATAGATATTAAGGATCTGAGTTTGTGTCCTGGTTCTGTCCTCGGTTTTCTCATCCAAAATAGAGCTTACAATGCCTAACTCATAATGTTTTGAGAACTAAATGAGACAAATACATCACTTGAGTAGACTGGGGTTTTTGGTTTTTTCTTTCTGTTTTTTCTTAAGAGAAATTCGTGGGTTCCACACAATTTATAATGTCTCAGGTCATTCTGTTTGCACCCAGTTTTGGGAACTGTTTAATTTGTGAAGGGTACTGTATAAGGCAGTGGTTAAAAACATGAGTTATGGGGTCAGACTGCCTGAATTTAAACCCCAACCTCATCATTTACTAGTTGTATGAGTTTGGAAAGATTCTTAATCTCGGACGCCCTCAGTTTCTTCATTGGTAAAACACAGGTAATAGCAGTCACTACTTTATAAAGTACTCGTGAGAAGTAAATGAGATAATCAATGTAAAGCACCTAACACATAGTAACAACCTTTAATTGTCATTGGCCATAATTGTTTTTAAAATCACCATCGACCTTAGGGGTCTCTGAGCTTTATGCATCTGTCAGTAAAAATCATTTGAGCATGCAGCCCCAATATATGTATTTTTATATATATATGTATTTACTTATGCATCAATATATTATTGCACACACCCACAAAACTTAACAAAAGAAATAATTAGAAGATCTAATATTTCTCCCTATATCCCTGGAATGTACACCCTTCTTTGAAGACCACTGATCTACTTTTTCAGGGTTACTTATAAATTAGATATAGTATATGCCAAGCATACAGCAAAGTACCTGTCTTTTGTAGGTGTTCAAATGTCAACGACTTTCATTGCAAATGTGAAAAGAGGAGCACTATTCTCATGTTAATTATTCTTTTTAATTGAAGTCATTATCATAATAATAATCTGCAAAGCTCCATCCTTGTTTAGAAAATAATTTTAAGATCATTAGTAATCAAACAGTGTAAACAGGCTTTGAAAAGCCTTCAAAGAACTCCATTCTTTGTCAAAATTATCATTAGCTCTCCAAACAATTACTGTATGGTTGAGTAATTCTCATAAAGCCAAAGTTATGTGAGGAAGAAAGAAATTCTTTTTCTCCTCTTCAAACAAGATGGGCGACAGTGGCTTATGATGGTGCAAATTCCCCCATGACAGCTCTTGAAAACTGTCTCTGAGCTTCTCTGCTCTCAGTAGAGGATCTCACCCTTGCTTTGCTAGCCTGGCACTCTGAAACTTTAACTGCCCTCTACTCTGCTACGTAACTTATTTGGTCAGCCTTTCTCCTCCTTTACTTCTGTCCAAGAAATAAGTCTCTTTCCTTCCCACCTGTGTTCTTGTTTCCAATCCTACTCTGAGACCCAGCCCCACCAATTGTTCAAACTTGCCCTTATATTTTTGTTCTCTCCTTCTCTACCTATTGATGTGCTCAGGAGTCGACAATTCTAAAAGATGCTTCTCTTTAACCCAACTACACCCTAAATTACCATTACCTCTCTTTCCTTCTAAAATTCTTCAAATTCTAGTTATCCCTGCTGTTTCTCCTTTCTTGGCACACTCAGGCCTTAACCCACCACAATCTAGCTCCTCTGCCCTGACCATCCTATGGAAATTGAACTCTAAGAAGTGCCATTGTCTTGCTAACAGATAAATAAAGTCTACGGTTTATTCTCATTCCTCACTGTCCTTTTCTGTGGCATATGGCACCACTGATCCCTTCTTCATGAAAAAACACTTTCCCTTCCTTGTTTTACTGATAAAGTACTATGTGGTTTTCAGTTTCCCTACAATGGCTTCTTATGCTTCCTTCACTGGCTCTTCTTCCCAACCCTTAAAAGTAGATGTATCTGAAGATTCTGTACTTAGATTTCTTCCAGGACCACACTTTTTTTTTCCCTTTCTCTCTCTCTATCCTGCTTGGAGCCCTGGTGGCACAGTGGTTAAGAGCTATGGCTGCTAACCAAAAGGTTGGCAGTTCAAATCCACCAGCCACTCCTTGGAAACCCTATGGGGCAGTTCTACTCTGTCCTATAGGGTCTCTATGAGTTGGAATCAAATTGACGGTAATGGGTTTGCTATCTAGCTTAGCCTGGCAAAGAAATAATTCAGTCACTAGCCCCAGCATCTTCGAGTCCTGAATTTCCAGCTGTTTGCTAGACACCCAGGTGCCTTATTAGAATCTTAAACTCAGCACATCCAAAACCCAAATCATTTTCCCTTTGCCTCCAAAAATCAGCTCCTCCTCCTGGCTTCCTACTTCTATGAATATCAGTTATCCAGATCAAACCCCAGAATTTTCCTTCTCTCTTACTTCCTCCTATTTTCAATCATATTTCTAAATACCAGATCATATAGATTCTACCTCTACTGCTTCCCCCATCTTGCCATTATTGTTTCATCCGTGCATTACTATAAATAGTCTACTACATAATCTGCTCAAATTCAATTCACTGCTTGATACACTGCTGCCTGATTGTGAGCCCTGGTGGCACAATGGTTAAAAGCTCGGCTGCTAACCAAAAGATCAGCAGTTCGAATCCACCAGCAGCTCCTTGGAAACCCTATGGGGCAGTTCTACTCTGTCCTGTAGAGTCACTGTGAGTCAGAACTGACTCAAAGGCAATGGGGTATGGGCTGCCTGTTTAAACTTCTGAATGTTTAGCTTTAATCATTCTGTTGCATTCTATGACACCTCACTGCATACAGATTTAACAATAAACTACTCACGTTGGATTTCAAAGTCCTATGTGATCTGACCTCAATGTTTGTTTTTTTCAGTGCTATTTTCCACTACTTTTCTGCCCATTTCCTGCAGTATAGCCAAATTGTAGTTCTTAAGAATGTTGCCTTTTTAAAATAATTTCTTGATTTGGATTCCTCAAGTAATTAAGTCCTCCTGCCTCACTGGCTGCCCCTTCTCTGTCTCCTTTGCTGCTTTTTCCTTTTTTCTCTAAATTCAAAACAGCAGAGATCCTCAGGGCTCATCAAACCTTTTTTCTACCTATACTTCCTCCCTAGGAACACCATCTACGTGTTAATAATTACCAAATTTATATCTCCAGCTCAGTTCATTCCTTAGAACTTTAGACTCAAATTTCCAAGTACCTACTTATCATTTTCATTTGAATATCAGATAGACACCCAGACTTAATATGCCCAAACTTGAACTCCTGAGTTCCTTTGCAGTCTTTCCCATGTCCATAAATGGCAACACCAGCAGCCCAGATGCTCAAGCCAAAATCCTTGGAGTCATCTCTGATTCCTCTCTTTCTCTCTCTTCCCCCACATCCCATCCATCAGCAAATCCTGCAGGCTCTATCTTCACAATATATACAGAACTGACCACATCTCACCACTTTCACTGTTACCATTTTGGCCCAAGCCACTTTAGCTCTGCTCAGAGGCTACTTACCCCTACCCCCTTCTGTCTAGTTTCAAAACAGCAAAGAATATTCCTGTTAAAATGGAAGACAAATTATGTCACTCCTCTGTGACATACTCCGGTGGCTTCCTCGCTCATTCAAGAGTAAAAGCCTAAATCTTTAACATGGGCCCAGAAGGTCTTCCATGATCTGATCCCTCACCCCAATACTCTGCTGATCTCATCCTTTCCTTGCTAACCTGCTCACTCCTCTAAAGCCACCTGGTCTTTTTTGCTATTCCTCACACACATCAAGCATACACTTAGCATTTGCTGTTTCCTATGCACAGAAGGACCTCCTCTGACTGCTCTGACTGGGATCACAACAGAGGGTCCTGGACAGAGCTGGATAAGGATGTAGAACAAAATTCTAACTCACAAAAAAAGACCAGATTTACTGGCCTGAAAGAGACTGGAGAAACCCCGAGTATGGCCCCCAGATAGCCTTTTAGCCCAGTGGTGAAGTCACTCCCGAGGTTCACCGTTCAGCCAGGGACTGGACAGCCCCATAAAACAAAACGGGACTAATGAGGCACAGCAGTCCAGGGACAAGGACTAGAAGGCAGACGGGGACAGGAAAGCTGGTGATAGGGAACACAAAGTTGAGAAAGGACAGTGTTGACATGTCATGGGGTTATTAACCATTGTCATAGGGCAATATGTGTACTGTTCAATGAGAACTTTGTTCTGTAAACCATCTAAAGTACAAAAAAAAGAGAAGAGAATTATCTATGTGAGATCGAATTGATAACAGCAACTCAAAAGGTTTGATGGGAAGCCTAGGGGGCAGTGAGAGTTGAAGATAATGGTGATGGAATAATTTGGAAAAGGATAGTGATAATAGCCCCACAACTGGAAGAATGTAATCCATGTCACTGAATTGTACATGTAGAAATCTTTGAAGTGGTTTATCTTTGGCTATGTATATTTTCACCAAAAAAAAAAGAAGGTCCTCCAAGGTTGAGAAGGGAGAGTGTGGACATGTCGTGGGGTTGTTAACCAATGTCATAAAACAATATGTGTACTGACTGTTTAATGAGAAACTATTTGTTCTGTAACCTTCATCTAAACTACAAAAAAAATTTTTTTTTAAAAAAGGACCTCCTCCATGCTAGATATCTTCATGAATTTCCCCCTCACTTTCTGCATTCACGATTACATGTCACCTTTCCAGTGAGAACTTGCCTGCCCACCCTAAACTGCGTCCCTTGCTCATCTTTGTTTTTCCTGTGGCATTTATATCAGCTAGCTATTGCCTCAATAAAAATGTGTAAAAACTCATCCCCAAACTAAATGGCTTCAAACATTCATTCTCATGGATCTGTGGGCCAGCTAGGAAGGCTCTTCAGATCTAGGCTGGGTAGCTCTTCTTCAAGCGGTGGTGGCTGGAGCAGCTTTCCTTCTCACTGTCTATCTGCAGGTTGGCTGGAACAGCTCTTCTTCATGTGTGTTCATTCCGGGACTCAGGCTAAAGGGCCGTGGCAATGACAGAGGCACAAGAGGGCAAGTGGGGCACACAGAGCCTCTTAAGGCTTAGGCTCAAAGTCACACACTGACACTTCCACCTCATCCTATTGGCCTAAAGTCAAGGGGTGCATAAATATATTCTGTTTTATTGGAACTCAAAGTAGCATGGCAAAAGACATCCAGATAGAAAGAGAAGAATTGGGATCAATAATGTAATCTTCCACATCATGTAACATCGTCCGATAGCCTATGTATTTATTTGCTATATCTTCTCATTAGATGCTGCATGAGGGTAGAACTCTATTTCATTCGCTACTTTATCCCCAGTGATTAGAACTGAGCCTGGACATAGTAGGTATTTGATAAATACGTTGAATGGACAAATTTAGCATTCATGCACACAATCATTCAATATGCCCACAATATTTCAGGAGCTTTGTTAGGTGCTAAGGATACAACAGTTCATGAGACACACGGAAAATGCCCTCAAGGCAACAGTCTGAGTCTAGTAAGGAGACAGATGAATAGATACGCAATTATAAACAATGATAAATAATAACAAAATGGCTAAAAATTACTGAGCACTTACTAGGTACCAGGCATTCTTCTACAAGGTGTACATGAACTAAACTCATTTAAGAAACCACCTTATTTCATCAAACCGACAATCAATAGTAAGCTTTCAAATATCAGATATAAAAAATGTGAAAAAATGGCCCAGGATAACTGAATGATTCCACTTATTTTAAAAGGCATACCTATTTCACAAATCAAAGTGTGCATCTTAAAATCACTGAAATACAGCATGTTGGGATCCATTTAGCCCAATCAATGTTCTTACCAAATGCAAAGCCTCACACACTCTTGTTCTCTCTATATATTCATATACATGCACACGCACGTGCACATATGTTTATCTGCTAACCTATATGCTAATTTAGTTTTATCTTTTTTAGATTTGGTTTAATATTCAACGATATGATTCCCCTCTAAGGATAAATTTTGATGTCACCAAGCCCAAGCTATGGAAATCTTTCTTTTCAAGAAGCCTTCCATACCCTGGCCTTTCCAGTGTTCAGGTATAATTCTTTTACTAACAATTAAATATAGACAAAGAGAAAGTAATTTGAGATCATTATACTGGGTAGGGTAGCTAGATATTTTTTGGTTCTTGCGGAACAAATGGTTAAGCACTCGGCTGCTGACTGAAAGGTTGGCAGTTAGAACCTACCCAGTGGCTCGCAGAAGAAAGAACTGGCAATCTGTTTCTGCAAAGATTACAGCCAAGAAAACTCTATAGGGCAGTTGTACTCTGTTGCATGGGGTTGCTATGAGTTGGAATCGACTTGACAGCACCTAACAGTTCAACTCATAAATATTTAGCCTAGAACAGCATTTGTATTTCAAACCTATTTGAGCCCAACTCACAAGAAGAAACATACTCTATATTATGAACCAGCATACACATATGCATGAAAGAAAAAGTTCTAATATATAAAGTACTACAAATTATATTCTATTTTATTCTGATTTTTTAAATGTTGGTCTCAATTTACTAGATCAATTTCATGACCACTAATGAGACATGAAATCAAACTACAGGGCATGATCCATAGTGCCTCATAAAATTAATTTAGAGGGTCCTAATTCTGGTGGCACAGTGATTAACAGCTTGGCTGCTAACCAAATGGTTGGCAGTTTGAGTCCATCAGTTGCTCCTCGAAAACCCTATGGGGCAGTTCTACTCTGTCCTGTAGGGTCGCTATGAGTCAGAATTGACTCGATGGCAGTTGGTATGAGTAATTAATATATTGTAAGTAGTAATCATAAGCACTGTTTTCTAAAACCTCTGTTTTCATTTGATAACTAAGTATATGTGTGTAGTGGGTTTGTAATATAAAATGTGTATTTTACTATGGATCAAACCTTCCAAAAAACAAAAAGTATAAAAAACAAAGCCCATCAGAGATCATGTGTGCAGTGTGCCATATACAAGCTTTTTCATAGGAACACTGTTTGAAGTAGCAAAAGAATGGAATGACAGAAGGGATAATTAAAGTATGGTACATAATAGAATATTTTAGTAGTTAGAATCAATGAACTAGAGCTATACAAATCAACACAAATGAATCTTAGTGTGTACTCTACAGTGGAGTTTAGGTCATGGTTATTCCTGTGAGGAGAGAAGGGAAATAGATTGAGAAAGAACTACACAGCACTGTAATTTGTGACGTTTTAGTTAAGGTGGGTCATGGCTACACAGGTATCCATTATATTATTCTCTGTATTTTATTGAATGTCTGAGATTTCATAATTAAAATTTTTTAAAAAGAATGTACAGCAGATCAAAATCTAAGTGTAGGTGATTTCTAAAATTTCTGAATTATTTTCTCATAGCCGGAAGAGCTAATTTACCAGTGCACAGACAAAGCAGCTGCAGCTGAGCTCCAAGACAGGTAACTTAATATCCATAAATCTGTAATCTGTAATCTGTCACTACTGGTGATTTTCAGCCTGGATCTATGTGGACTAATTTGGCCAAATAAACTTTATTTCATGTTGACAGATACCAAGTAAAGATGTGATCTCTAAATCACATGGCTCGAAGGAGGCTATTTCATCAGCATAGTGTGGGGAAAACAAATGAGAACTACAGTCACCATATGTAGTTAGTTCTCTAAGACCTTACCTCAGACTAGACCTCAACAGCATGTTATTATGGGTCTTGTTCAGGCACATCATAATCCTCAGCTTACATATGCCTCTTTTGTCCAATTATTGGCTGTAAAAATGGCGTGGTGGAGGAGTCTGACCTCCTCTAACTTCACAAGGGGGAGAGAGAATCACCATCAGCATCAGCCCAAGGCTGATTTCTATGAAGCGGAGGTCAGACATACCTGTTTGTTCCAACCCTTTTTACCAATTCTGACATCACCCATCCCTCCCACCACATGCTACTTCTCGGCTGGGTTTGATAATTTGTTGCAATGGCCACACAGAACTCACAGACAATACACATGATTATGGGGTTTATTAAGAAGTAACAGGTTACAATTCAGGATCAGGAACGACTCAGGATGCAGTTCTTCCGTTAGAACAGCTTCTCAGCCACGCCCACAAGCAGGCCTACCCCTGGCCCTTGACCTCTTAGGCCCTCAGCCCCTAAGCCCTCCTTGGCCAGCCTGGCCTCTGCCCTGCTTGGGCAAGTGTTACAAAGCTCTTTAGTTCCACTGGAAAGTGTCCAGAGGCACCCCAGTATGCCAGTAAGCCTTGGCCTGAAGGCACTCAGCTCTCTCACTCCATGGGTCCACATGCCTAGCTCTGCCAACAAGTGCCTGGAGGCACCCCACTCCACCAGAAAGCCTCCTTCCTGAAGGCACTCAGCTTTCTCACTCCATGGGCTGGGAAGCCCACCGTGCCGTCTCCTGTCATTCTCCTGGTTCTGCTGCCACCATTTCTCTGCTGCCACTTCTTGTCGTCTCTCACCGTCTCTGGTGTTACAGCTGTCTCCTGGGTCTAGGATGTTCTCAGTGCAGGGATCCGGGGTCCAAAGGATGTGCTCTACTCCTAGCTCTTCTTTCTTGGTGGTAGTGACATCCCCCTGTCCACCTCTGGGATGGCTCATTTTAAGCCTAGCAGCATGGCAAAACTGACCAATCCCTCGTTAGAGTTCCATACACATTATTTGCATAGTCCCACTCACCACCAACCCCCCACAAAGGTGCCATGCACCTTATTTGCATTATTAGCAAGCTATCCAATCCCCTTGGTGGGCCACAAGAACCTCATTTGCACAGTCCCACCCAATCATTTGGTGGGAGTTACAAGACCCTGGTGAAGAAAGGCCATATAAAAGCGATCCATCCCACTGCAGTGGCTTACAGAACTTCAGCTAGTTTATGAGCATTATGGAAAAGGCAGTTAAGGGTCTGAGTCCCTGTAATCCTTACAACCCTGTGAAATGGAACTTATTCTCCTGGTTTCACAAATGTGCAAACTGAGGCTCAGAGAGGTTAAGTGCCAGCTCAGAGAGGTTAAATGCTTCTGAGCCCAGCCAGATCTTTCTGATCTCAAAGCCTTGTGTTTTTTTCTACTGTAACAAGTTGTGTGACGAGTCAAATCACACAAGATGAAATGTGACCCCTTTTTAGGTGTTATTACCAGCAAACAGCCAATTTACTCCCAATTTCTCCATAAAGCCTTAGTTGGGACACCCATGTAGGACAATTAATCCAAAATAAAATGTCTTGTTTCTTCCATAGCTTCAACATACCATTGATTAGACTCACATGATTTATTTCTCCAATATGATGAAGTGCTTGGTAATTCATCCATACTTCCTTGCTCAGATCACCTGGAAACCCAAAACAAGGATATGTTATGTGCTAAAAGAAAAGTGGATCCTATGCCTATTGAGCAATAGGAAGCTGGCTGAGTCCTAAATCTGTATATTTGGTTAGGGGACAGATGAGAGGCTTTAGAATCAGCAATGTTTCAATTAAAACCCCAGTCCCGTGTCTTAGTCAAGTCACTACATCAAATTGTCCCCGCCCCCCACCCCATATGTAGTATGCGGATAATACCCTCCACCTCATAGGGTTATTAGGATTAAATAAAAATAAAAAGCACTTAACACAGTACCTGGTAAATAAGGGCTCAATAAATGGTAGCTATTTTTCCCTCATTCTATGATTAAGCTTCATATCCTGTGAATCTAATACCTATCATATTAATTATAAAGCAGAATACTAAACATTAAGTTGCAATGATGGTTCGCATTTTAAAGACAGTTTTAAAACAATTTAGGAAAAAGGTAATTCTCATGAATAGAAGTCTCACCAGGGAAAGAAAAAATCAGTAAGGGTATTAACAGCCCTACAATGATCTGAGGCTCTACCCTAGTGGTGCAGTGGTTAAGTGCTACGGCTGCTAACCAAGAGGTCGGCAGTTCGAATCCACCAGCCGCTCCTTGGAAACCCTATGGGGCAGTTCTACTCTGTCCTGTAGGGTCGCTATGGGTCAGAATCAACTCAGTGACAACTTGCTTGGCTTACCCCGGGGCTTTGAGCCGGTTCCCTCGTTTGAACCCCTGCGGAGAATTTGCATTTCTAACAAGTTCCCAGGTGATGCTAATACTGCTGGTTAGGGACCAATTCTGAGAACCACTAGTAGAGCAGTGATTCTCAAAATTTATTACATGTAAGAATCACCTGGGGACCTCACTAAACTGTAGATTGATTCTGGGATGGAAATGCAAATCATCAGCAGGGGTTCAAACCTGAACTAACTGGTTTGAAGCCCTGCTATTACCATAAGCCTCACCCCTTATGCCTGGGTCTAATGTATCTCTATATATACTGGTGGTCCAGGGGTTAAAGCATTCAGCTGCTAACCGAAAGGTTGGCAGTTCAAACTCACCAGCCACTCTGCAGGAGAAAGATGTGGCAATCTGCCTCCATAAAGATTACCGTCTTAAAAACCCTATGGGGCAGTTCTACTGTCCTATATGGTCACTATGAGTCCGAATTGACTCGGTGGCAACAGGTTATATATGTAATCAATGAACGAAGTGATAAAGCATTTCATGATTAAATTTTTTTTTTTGCTAAATGTACTGAATCTAACTATTCCCCAGAGTTATTATTCAGTGTTCCTCTGCTGTGTTACATCTCAAGCATCTCTCATGGCCCTTAGGATATCTTGTACCTTCTATGTACAGGTCTATTCTCTACCCTACCCCTGCATACGGTCCTTAAGAGCAAGGATCATTTGTGTTATGTTTTGACTCCCCAGAGATCAGCCTATATTAGGTACCCAGTATGCCTGAAGAATGGCAACGGCACCATCAAAAATGTAGTTATATAATCCAGACTGCATACAAACTGTGGTTTCTTATGAAAAAAGTCAAGTCACCCAAAATGGAGTTTATTTTTTATGAACAGGATTGAAAAAATACTAAAAGAGAAAATCATGGACTGGAGGCCACGCCATCTGACTCGGTGGAACAGGTACTGCACCTCCACTCTGCGTCACTTCTTGCCTCTGTTAGAAAGAAGCCAAGGAGAAGATGTAGATGACCACAGAGCGGAACTGCTGAAGCAGCTAGGAGACTACAGGGTGAGTACAAATGGCTCCTAAACTGACCTTGTGGAGTTCCCCATTTCAAAGTGGAAATTACTCAGTAATGGGTTTTTAGAATCAAAACACCTACACGCCTCCTCAAAGTACATAGATTAAGCAGGATAGACTAAAAAGTTATATTAAAAATTTTTAATCTCAATAATTAACCTATTACCAAATAGCGAAATCCCTCTATAACATGAAAATACTACCATTTTTAGCTTATGAAAAATAATACCTTTTATGAATACATTGCAAGTATTAAATACATGAAAATATCTGGCTAAATCAGGTTGTAGACTGAACTGTGAATAAGATGAAACCAAACACTCTGGACTGGGTTTGTAAAGGATATGGTTTTATACTGATAGCTTTTCACTGCTAAGAAAGATTCTCATGAACAGACAATATAATGTTTCTGGATAATAAAACAAAGAAAGTAGTCTCATAACTACGTTCAAGACAGAAAGCCTTGTTGGCTAAACAGTGTGAAGAGAAAATCGGACAGTTGAGAATAGTTCTATTCACTGACTAAAATGTATCCTTCAACTTACTTTTAAGGCGAGGTTTTCAGCCAAGATGTTTTTAGTTCAAGTAACAGAGAGCTCAACTCAAATAGGCTTGAACGATAAAGAGAATTTATTGGCTTACTGTAAGTGCAGAGTCAGAGATGACTCAGGACTGGGGTGTCCCACTTTCTGCAAGTCTCCCCACTCTGGGCTCCTCCATGGGATGGCATCGTCCTCAGGCTGGCTTTCCTCATGGTAGCAAATGGCTGCAAGTTCCAGGACTCACATCTGCCCACACACTGTCCAAAGCAGTGTGCCATTACTCCCAGCAAGATTCCTGAGGCTCCCTTTGATTGAGACCCACTCTGATCACATGCCCATCCCTGTATCAATCTTTGTGGCTAGGGGGATGGAATGCGTTGATTAGCTTAACCCAAGTCACTGGAACCACGTGGGTCATTAAGCAAACTGGGGGTTGTCAGGAAGAGGGAAGGGGACAGTGGAGGGTGACTAACAAGTGTCCCATACATGACATCAATATGCTTGCAACTAAAACTAAGGGACATTTAAACCTTTCTGTATTGCTACTATATAGCTGAGTAGAAAACCAGAACTAATCAACTTACTTCGAGAGAAGACTTAACTGATTTAAGAACTGCATATATTTACATGGGGAAAAAATATAGTGGAATCTTCAAACTAATGACTACAAATTTTTCTTTTCTCCCAGTTCTCTGGATTTCCCCTTCATATGCCCTATTCTGAAGTGAAGCCTTTAATTGAAGCTGTATATAGTACTGGAGTACATAATATTGATGTTCCTAATGTTGAATTTGCTTTAGCTGTATATATCCACCCGTATCCCAAAAATGTTTTGTCTGTTTGGATCTACGTTGCCTCCCTTATACGCAACAGGTGATTTTTTCATTGAACTTTTTGTTATCATGTAAAAACTATAATCAAAATATGAGAATATTTTTAGATTATATAGATTACACCAGAAGGAAGAAAATATTTGGAAATGATGAAATAAATTTATCATACTTTCATACTATGCTTTATTTAGTAGTTTGCCTTGTCTGTCATTTTGATGCTAAATTCAGTGTAAGTCTACCCACAGTTCCTCCTTATGCTACACAACTTCACATCTCTATGCCTTTGTACTTGCACAATCTCTGCTTCAAATGTCCTTCTCCTTCTTCGCTTGTTCAGCAGAGTATCGATCACACTTTTAAGACCCAGCAAAGCACCACTTCTCAACTTTTCGGTGGGGAGGGGGAACAGCTTTGCAGTATCAAATTTTAATTTTTAACCCTAGACTACCTCTTAAGACTTCATCCTATGGAAATACTGAGCAGCACACATGTACATGCATGTGCACATACTCAACACACACTCACTGAAGCAATATAGTATTTAAAAAGGGATATATTTAAATATCCATCAAAAATGAAGTAGCTAAAAAAAAGACCTAACACTATACTAAGCTATTAAAAAGGATTAACTATCTGCTGACATGGAAAAAGGTACACAAAATTGTTGTCATCGTTGTTAGGTGCTGTCAAGTCAGTTCTGACTCATAGCAACCCTATGTACAACAAAACGAAACACTGCCCAGTCCTGGGCCATCCTCAGAATTGTTATGCGTGAGCCCACTGTTGGCAGCCACTGTGTCAATCCATCTCCTTGAGGGTCTTCCTCTTTTTCACTGACCTTCTACTTTACTAAGCATGATGTCCTTCTCCATGGACTGATCCCTCCTGAGAACACGTCCCAAGTACGTAAGATGAACTCTCCCCATCCTCACTTCTAAGGAGCATTCTGGCTGTACTTCTTCCAAGACAGATTTGTTCGTTCTTCTGGCAGTCCATGTTATATTCAATATTCTTTGCCAATACCATAATTCAAAGGCATCAATTCTTTGGACTTCCTTATTCACTGTCCAGCTTTCGCAAGCATATGAGGCGAATGAAAATACTATGGCTTGGGTCAAGTGCATCTTAGTCCTCAAAGTGACAAAAAATAGAAATACACAAAACAGAAATCTGTAAAAACAGGATTTTTTAACAGCAGTACTATTGCCATTTTAGGCTGGTAACTGTTTGTTCTGAGGGCTGTCCTGTGCATTGTAGGATGTTCAGCAGCATCCTTGGTCTCTACCCACTAGATGCCAATTGCACCCACCATCACCCCACTCCAGTTGTGACAACTAAAAATGTCTCTAGATGCTGCCAAATGTCCTCTACAGGGCAATCCGCCTTCAGCTGAGTGCTGATGTAGATACAGTCTCACTTTAAAAAAGTAAATAAAGATGTAAGGAAAAACTTTCACCTTTTGCTTTATTCCCTTTATGCCTTCCTCTATCAAATTATTATTCCAAAAGTTTACATATCTGATACCTTTACTGTGAACTCTTCAAGGTGGAATTCAATGACTGAGCCATAACAGCTACCAATATTGCAACATAGACAAGATAGCGTTAGTGCTTAAGAGAATGAACTCTGGCGAAATCCCAGTTCTGCTTCTTACAAGCTGGATAACCATGCGCAAGTTACTTAACCTGTTACTTACTTTCCCCCATATGAAGACAGGGATGATTACACTGCCCACTTCAAAGCATTGTTGTAAAGATTAAAGTCCATATATGTAAAGCACTCAGGTGCCCAGCACTGAGCGCCTGATGTGTCAGGCACTACAAGGCATTTTACATGTCACATTTTTTTCTCAGAATGAACAATTTAAATAATTCATCAGATCAACCACAAAATCCAAGATCAATTTAAACCAAATATATGGCGTTCCAACTTTCATTAAACATTCACTATCCCCTGAATGGTGCAGTGGTTAAGTTTGGCTGCTAACCAAAAGGTCAGCTGTTCAAATCCACCAGCTGCTCCTTGGAAACCCTAGGTGGGCAGTTCTACTGTCCTATAGGGTCGTAATTAACTGAACGGCAGAGGATTTTTATCCTTTTAAGTTTATATGAAACACTAATATTATCAAAGTTAAATGCAGCGCTTTTTATATGAAATACTAATATTATCAAAGTTGAATGCAGATTACGCTGTCTATTCCTCATGCTATACAGGAGAGGGGTAGAAAAACAATGAGTTTTGACATGACAGTATGCTGACATACTGAAGCCAGTCTGCCAAGTCCTGTTTCATGATTTGATTAGCATCAAGCAACGTAAGACAAAGCAAAAGAGAGGCACCTCGATTACCTGAAACCAACCCCTGGGGAAATTAACTGCTCAAAATTAATTTATAAAGGATAAAATTTAAGCGAAGTTCTGAAACATCATAATTTTTTTTTTCCTTAAAGATTATCAAAATCTTTCCCTTCAAAAATTCTATTGTTTTCAGATTAAACAGAGGATAAAGTTTAACCCTCCCTTGGTGACCCAGGACCATCACGGTGGACGAGCAATGTTACCATTAAGTAAATATTGATAAGATGAAGTATGGAGTGGAATGGAACTCACCCCAGAAGACTTTTTATAGTTTTCTTGAAAAAGTCCCTGATGTCAACTTTCAAAATAAGCTTTATTAAAAACTTAAATGAAAACCAGCTGCCATCAACTCAATTCTGACTCATGGTGACCTCATGTAGAGTATAACTGCACTTCATAGGGTTTTCATGCCTGTGATCTTTTGGAAGCAGACTGCCAGGCCTTTCTTCTGAGTCACCTCTGGATGAGTTCAAACCACGAATCTTTCAGTTAGTAGGCAAGCGCTTAATCATTTGCACTCCCCAAGGATTTCTATTAAACACTTAGGAAAGTAAAAATACAGAAACTACACAATGGTAAACCTTACAAAATAAACCTTCCTCCCTGTAACTGCTCACTAAACGTAGATTTCCTTCCAAGCTCTCTAAAGAGATCAAAAAATTTTTTTCTTTGTATTTAGGCCTGAGTTTTAAAAAAGGAGGATAGGTGTAGTGCTGCCACAGAAGACATGACTTCTTAAGCTAAAGAACACAAATGCAGAAGGTAAGATGGCCTGTTATACAGCTGTCCTAGCCTACATGCAAGAAACATGCAGTGTCCCATGTTTTATTTTACAAATACTAACATCAATGGAATCAAAAAGGCAAGATGAAATTTCAAAGAGTGAGTCATTAGATATCCTCCCATTAGAGTTGATCTTCTCTTGGAGTGTTTAATTCAAATGGCTCTTCCTTCATCTTTAGACAACTCTGTTTAAAATAAGGCTTTCTCTTACCGTGAACTGAAACATGTCCACCTGTAGTTATATCTCCCCTACTTCCCCTTTCCCCACAACAAAACAAACACCTGGGGTCACAGAGAAGACAACTGCAAGATTACTTTCTCTTCCATAGCCTTGCAAGTTATTTATAAAAACTGACAGCATGTCCCTAACTGTTCTCTTCTAGCATGACATAAAATTCACTCAGTATGTACCTTTCTGAATGGTTGATCTCCATTCCCAATAGTTTTTCACAAAGCAATGAAGATAAACTTAGAAACTCAAATTTTGACTGGTGCACAATTAATTTGAAAAAGAAAATTCAACTTAACAAAACTAGGTATGTGTCCAAAACTGTTTATTTGTCAAGGTCATGATTTCACAAGAGATCAAAAGACAAAATATTTAGTCCTATTTTACACTAACATAAACTGGATTGAGATTTATAATAATCAAAACACAAAAGGTATTACTTGGTAAGTCCTCAAAGTGGATTTTATTTATACATTTCTTCAAACGATTGTGGAACTTTTAAAAATCCATCCCGAATTTGACAACTTAGGGACAGTGGTGGGAACCTGGAGTCTTTGAAGAAAACAAATACATTGGTGCTTTGCTAGCTCACTGAGCTAACACCTAGAAGCCAATTTACTCTATAATCTTAAAGAATCTTAAATGTGGGTATGTTTGTATTGGCCCTCTGAGAATTGTTCAAATAAACGAAACATTATGGAAGAGATTGGTTTCCAAAATGTGCAGTCTTTGAAAATAAAACTTTAAAAATGTAGTCTGAAAAATCTGCAAAGCTTGGTACAGTGTTTCTATGTAAAAAGAACCAAAAATCCCCGCTGACTTTCAAACTGAAGATAATCTAAAAGATACTTTAAATGCCATGGCATTAGTGACTTTCTTTCCAAAGCATTTCATCCTCATTTAAAGAAATCTGGTAAGACTGTTCTCACCCTTATGAAAAAACCTAATCCCACTCTAAAACAAAAATATGATTTGCAAGAGAAACAACACTGTACAATTCACTGGTAAATAAAGATTTCTGAGGTTGTAAGAAATAGGGCCAAAACAAGTCACACTCAGAAAGGGAAGGTTAACACAAGAAATGTGCTGTAAGTAAAGTGCATGAAAGGAAGCCTGCTCAGCTAAATGAAGTAGACAAAGGTCAGAAGTCAAGAGTCATTCGCCAGAGCGGCAGCAGGCTCGAAAACCACACTGCAAATTCTGGCATCCACTGGCAGTCTCAGCATGAGGACCTGTATGAAAACAGAAAAATGTGAAAGGAGGAATTTCTCAGCGGTCACATAAAAATAACCTTGCTTATGCAAGAGTTAAAAAATGGATTTTTTCTTACTAGCAATATATTTATATTATTGAAGTAAAATCTCACAATGTATATTTTAAAAATGTTCAGACACAAAAATCTTCAATAGCAGCTTGACTTTAACTAATACAGCTGTCGTGGTTCAAAAGGTAAATGGAGGAAGAGAAAGAATTTTTTTGCAATTCTGACAATTTTACAAAAGGAAAAAAAAAAAACACAAAAACAACAAAAATTAAGAAGGAAATAACCCACCAAAGCAAGCAAGACTGCCGGGCTAACTTAACAGATTTGTTCTAACCTGAACATCCTTACTAGAAAGAGAATTAAGGCAAAAATAGCCCTATAATAATAGTAATAGATTAACTAAAGAATGTATTGAACCATTACAATAAATACTATATTCAAAAATTAAAGCAAACTACATAGACACAGATTCAGCATGTTGGCCATATTTTTACTTAACATTCACAGCCAAAATAAATTATATGTTAGAGTTAGAGGAAATTATTATTCAGAATTAAGTATGAGTGATTAACCAAATAAATACCACACATCTAAGACATAATAAAAATTGGGATTCACTTACAAAGAAATATAATAAAATGTATGTGGAATTACTGACATTTTATCCCAGACACTAGATGAAAGATCCATTAGGGAACACAGTTGAGAATTAGAAAATACCCAAAAGAGGTTTCATGGCACATACACAAAAATTAAGTACTCTGAATGAATGACAGTGTTCATAAAGGCAGGCAAATGTGGAAAAGGCTGTTAACTATATTGAAACCTCTCAGTATTACATCTGTATTATGAACAAATAAAGGACAGTTAATTAGTTCTTACTTATCAATGAGTACAATGAAAATATCTGCCATAGTGATATATGAAGATAATACAAAATGAAAAAAAGTGTATCAAATATAATTCTACTACAGATACACCAAATGGAATGTAACTGAAAAATCACAGTGCTCTGGACTAAGTTTTGAACTCAGAAATATGTTTTAAATTTACTGTTTTGTTTTTTAAAGTAGCACTTAATTACAAAAGGCAACTACAGTAATACTGACATATGAAAAATAACTAGTTGCAACTGAACACGCACAACACACTTATTTCCAGG